ATGATCCACTACAATTCCACAATTTGTTCTCCAATCAGGGGAAAGTCCCTTACATCTGGTTAGCCACTGAAGAGCTCTGTTACAATCCCTTTCATTATTTCAAGTGCTAAACCGACTCTCTCCGGCTGATAACAAATAACGGGCTATGGTCACTTAAGCTGCTATGTAGAGAAAATAACGACTGATGCTGGGTGTCTTGCAAGGAATGTGGCAAGTTTAAAGCTATATGCATTGGTAATGTTTTGAGGAGACCTACTGGTAACTAAGACATGAATTCTCAGTCACTACTTGAACACTACACGATAACCTAAAGCAGTGGTTCCCAAACTTTGTCTACATCGTCCCTCCCAAGGAAATGCATCATGTGATCTCTCTGTTCCACCTGTCCCACAAACAGATTATATCCATCTCACAAATAATTCAAAATTGGTCTTGTTTTAAAAATTTAAGTGTAAATGTTTGCTGTAATAGATAACTCTTACACACAATAGCAACACCACATCTGACTACAATTCCTTAAGATGTGCTGCGTCATATTCCGTCACCTCCGCTCCCACCCCGTCCCTATTCCCTGCTGTCAAGCTTCTCAATTGTCAAATACATTTTATAGTAGAATTCAGGTGATGAATGGGCCTGAGCTACATGCTTTTAAGTATTCATTAAACTCAGCAAAGCATAAGCATTTTCAAGCAGTGTCTAAGCATTCAGGCCAAAGTCCAAGTTTGTACTGATACATGAAGGAGTTCTTGAAAAAGGTTTTTCAATTTACTAAATATGACACTTTATCATGAATACAAAAAATATAATTTTGTTCAATTGGCTTACAGTCAAATATATTAACACTATTCAGAAAGCTATACAAACTTTAGTCAGACCACATTAATCTGCTGAGCTGTCCTCAGCAATTATAGACATTAAAATAATGTGGGACAAAATAGTCCTATTAACCACAGATTGCATTGCATTTGTTCCTAATTATAAATTTCTAGGGTCTTTAGATGTATAAATAAGCTATGAACATAGAAAAAAATGTGAATGTGCCAGAACCACAGGCCCAACACAAACTTGTTAGTGGTGCAGCTTGGGAACTGTCTGAGGCACAAACAAGAGGAGGGCACAAAAATGCAAGGCTTGAGGGAAAGACTTGGAGGGTCTCTGTTTAACTATGTATCTCGCATTCTTGAGGAACCAATGTGGGGATAATTGGTACAGTTACGAGATGGCCAAAGGTAATATACGGAATAACATTACTGTTAAAATAACATTACTGTATGTACTATGCAAAGATTCGAAGTCAACATATTAATAATTTTCTCCAGTGCAAAAGACATCTTAATAACAGGCACACTTTATTTTAAGCTCATACACCTTCCATGGAAACATCCCATAGATATGTTTCAAGCACTACTATAGAATAAGCACTGACACTGGGACAAGATATTTATTCAGTACATTTTACTGTATTAAAAACAAACACTGGATAAGCTAAAACATCACAATCCTGACCTGGGTTGTGAGCCGTCGAGAACCAAATACCGTAACCACACCACATTTCTCAGCTGGACAAAGGCTGAAGGTTCCAGATAATTGGAGATTTATTACAATTCCGACGCTATGGACATATTGTATATTGCTGTCGTATTATTGCAAATATCCTACTGACACGGAGAAACATAAAATACTAAGTCCAACGATTATTGGTATAATTTCTTGTGTAAAGATATTCAAACTTTCTTTAGGCAGATGGCAAATTTTGACTAGCCAGCCATCTTTCTCATAAAGGAAGAAAGGGGAAAATAAAAGAAAATTTTTTATAAATGAAAGAAAAGCTAAGTTAAATTTCCTAAACATACAATATAAATATAGTAAATATCTAATACCGTAGTTTAAATCTGAATTTCTCACTTTCGCTTGTGTTAGGTGCTTCAACTGGATCAAAACTTAATAATAGGAAGACTTGGAATTCTATAATTTCTTGACAATTCAGACACTAAAATTTTTTTATCAAAGATTGTACTAATTTCTTAATTCAGTTTGAGAAGTTCTGGCATCAATATATTGCAATACAACCTTGGAAATCCAGAAATATTGAGAGTGAGAGCCTCGTGGAATTGTTATTTTCCCGAGTTACTCTCCCTGTGCCCCCTACACATATCCTTGTAACCATGATGCATTTTTATATTAAAGTTCCCATGGTGATTTAAGGTCCAGTCTTGTGGTTCACAGATATTGCATAATTTTCTTACAAAAATCATGAACAGTACAATCCTGTGTTTTTACTTAAATATAACAAATTACCTTGTCAGAAAAATGTAGAAAGACCGTCATTATATGAACAGAATGTGAAATACACACATAAAGTACAATACCATAATCATCTATGCAAGATGAGTGTAAGCCATTTGTGACAAAATGAAACAACTAAACTCAACCCAACCTAAAGATCGTTACCTTTTCAGTATAGTTTAGTTAAGTTAGGTAGTGTTTGTGTCATATATCATCATTAATTGTTTACAAACATGCCTTGTTACAATACCACAACACACTGCTTATGCTTACTTTACCTTACCTTCATTAGTCGATACTGCAGCTAGTGTACTCTCTCTACATAATTCTGGCCAGGTGTTTTGTTTTTGCTTAGTAATACCAAATACTGTAAGATTTTTGTGAGAAAATCCTGGTTCATAGCATTTATTAATCCTGAACACATTACACTGAGTGACTCTTGCTCTGAGGAGGCAACCTTGGCCACACGTCCATGGAAAACTGCCATTTAGGCAAGTAGGTGGTGAACTTTTCAGTGTACCTACAGTGTTAATTTTTCTTGGTCCTTTCAATATTTATCCAATGATACAAAATACAGTATAGAATTTTAACCCCAATCTTAATTTATTATCTACTCATGATGCCTGATGATGAAAACAATGATGTGATTGGTCAGGACAAAACTGACACACATCATCTGTAACTAATACATACTGTATGAAACTATATTATGAAAATTTTATTGCATAAGTGTTCAGTACAGAACTATATTGTAAACACATTTGGAGTTATAAATATTTATACAAATACTGTAAATGAAAATTATGTGAAGTGTTGATGATCACTGTGGCTGATGCAGGGCTAGCAAGGTTGCTACACCTTCTTCTGCAACTTATTTATAACAAATTTGATGAATAAATATTCAGCACTGTATTTCAAAGATATCTTCAGCTCTATACATTTATAAAAATAAACGAAAATTGTCATTTCATATGAAAATTTCCTTCGATAATACGAACAAACAAATGGTTGAGTACTGTACAGTAACAGGGAGGTAGCGGAGTAGTGAATGCTTCTTTGTGGAATAGTTAAACAGTGCAATTTTCTTTTTGGTGTAGATCCTGGATGCTGCTACACACTACTGTACAAGTTGAGAGTGTAGGCAGACACTGCCACACATCAACCCAACTGATAAGTATTAAGAGCCAGGCTGTAGACCATAGGACATAATGCTTCATCTGCTCCCCACAAGTGCTGAGTCGGCTTCCTTCTGATTAATAGTATTTTTCAAAGCAGCCAATTTTCTGAGATTCATGGAAAAGTGATTTCTGGACTTCCAATGTTATAATGCAATTAAAAATTATGGAGATTTACAGACATTTCACTATGTATTTTCTTTAGTAAATACACAATTTTTTTTGCATAAGATATCACTGAACTGTTAATGGCATAAAGTTTCACACGCCTACACTGTTGGTAGTTTATATACAGTATTCACCGAGCTTTCTGACAGTATGGGCCACTCTGCCTATTGGTGGTATATGTACACTATTTTGTATCTCAACTTCAAAGACTCAAAGTTGAGTCCATTTGCCATAATCATTGTACACTGTGGGTGAAGACTGTCTCTCTCATCTACTGTACAATGTTTAGTTTCACAGCACGGGAAAATTTCCTAATAACCACCACAGTATATCCTTAGAGCCATCTGATTATCATATCTATAATAAACATAAATTATTCTCTCTAGTACATTAGACTGGATGAGGCAATACTGAACATTTTAAAACTCCAAGAGCAGTCTCAAGCACCTAATACAAGACTGGAATTTGAAATATACTTCTCAATAAAAGATTCTGATAAATACTATATTAAATACAGTAATTGGGCAACAAAAATAATAAACATACTGAAAAATATTCAATACAGATATAAATTTAAAAGACTACCAATAAAAGTTGACCATAAAGACATAGACCCAAACTGTATCATTAACTCAAGAGGCAAATGTGAATTTCAGAAACAGGATGAAGGGCAAACAGATTTTCCAGATGCTGCTAACAAGAAAACACAAATAAATACATAAATAATAAATTGATAAAACCTCAAACATGGCTTAATTCTGTTGTCAGTTGGCCGTACACAACAGTTGGTCAGGTGGCCGTACACAACAGTTGGTCAGGTGGCCGTACACAACAGTTGGTCAGGTGGCCGTACACAACAGTTGGTCAGGTGGCCGTACACAACAGTTGGTCAGGTGGCACACACAGGTGGCCGTGGCACAACAGGTGTACACACACAGTTGGTCAGGTGGCACACAACAGTTGGTCAGGTAACACAGGTTGGTCAGGTTACAACACACAATCAGGGTGGTGGCAGGTGGCGGTTGGTCAGGTGGCGAACACAACAGTTGGTCAGTACAACACAACAGTTGGTCAGGTGGCCGTACACAACAGTTGGTCAGGTGGCCGTACACAACAGTTGGTCAGGTGGTACACAACAGTTGGTCAGGTGGCACACACAGTTGGTCAGGTGGCCACACAGGTGGCACACAACAGTTGGTCAGGTGGCCGTACACAACAGTTGGTCAGGTGGCGTACACAACAGTTGGTCAGGTGGCTACACAACAGTTGGTGGGTGGCCGTACACAACAGTTGGTCAGGTGGCCACCACACAACAGTTGGTCAACAGTTGGTCAGGTGGCCACAACAGTGGTCCGTACACAACAGTTGGTCAGGTGGCCGTACACTGCAGTTGGTCAGGTGACCGTACACAACAGTTGCTCAGGTGGCCGTACACAACAGTTGGTCAGGTGGCCGTACACTGCAGTTGGTCAGGTGACCGTACACAACAGTTGCTCAGGTGGCCGTACACAACAGTTGCTCAGGTGGCCGTACACAACAGTTGGTCAGGTGGCCGTACACAACAGTTGCTCAGGTGGCCGTACACAACAGTTGGTCAGGTGGCCGTACACTGCAGTTGGTCAGGTGACCGTACACAACAGTTGCTCAGGTGGCCGTACACAACTGAATCTGAGCATGATGGTACACAACTGATGATGCCAAAACTTCTTAACTGAGCTTCATCTGTGGCCCGGGCACCATAGCTCCAGTGGGTGAAGCTTTCAACTATAACCAGGCTGTGTTGGATGGCATTGTTGTCTAAAGTGTGCACAAACCCAGTGCCTCTGTCAGGTTATGTCCCTGGACTAGTGCTAACCCTTTCTTCTTTGGGAGTTGCCAGCTTACTAAAATGTGTTAAATTTGGAGCTTCAACTTTCAAGGTTCTGCAGGAAAATAAGAACTGTATGCACCAAACCATGTCAGGCTACATCAAAATTAGCTAAAATTGTCTCTCTTAAACCAGTAGTACCAAAGTCCTTCCTCAGATATCCCCAACCAAACATACCCTAAGTACCCAGCAGTGTGAAACAAACCCTAAGTACCCAGCAGTGTGAAACAAACCCTAAGTACCCAGCAGTGTGAAACAAACCCTTAGTACCCGGCAGTGTGAAACATACCCTAAGTACCCAGCAGTGTGAAACAAACCCTAAGTACCCAGCAGTGTGAAACAAACCCTAAGTACCCAGCAGTGTGAAACAAAAAGCAAACCCTAAGTACCCAGCAGTGTGAAACAAACCCTAAGTACCCAACAATTAATGAAACAAACCCTAAGTACCAGCAGGTGTGAAACATACCCTAAGTACCCAGCAGTGTAAGAAACATACCCTAAGTACCCAGCAGTGTGAAACATACCAGCAGTGTGAGTACCCAGCAGTGTAAAACATACCCTAAGTACCCAACATTGCTGAAACATACCTAAGTACCCAGCAGTGTGAAACATACCCTTAGTACCCAGCAGTGTGAAACATACCTAAGTACCCAGCAGTGTGAAACAAACCCTTAGTACCCAGCAGTGTGAAACAAACCCTAAGTACCCAGCAGTGTGAAAACAAACCCTTACCCAACAGTGTGAAAAACCTAAGTACCCAGCAGTGTAACATACCCAAGTACCCAGCAGTGTGAAACAAACCTAAGTACCCAACAGTGTGAAACAACCCTAAGTACCCAGCAGTGTGAAACAATACCCCTAGTACCCACAGTGTGAAACAAACCCTAAGTAAGCATGAAACAAACCCTAAGTACCCAACAGTGTGAAACAAACCCTAAGTACCCAGCAGTGTGAAACAAACCCTAATACCCAGCAGTGTGAAACAAACCCTAAGTACCCAGCAGTGTGAAACAAACCCTAAGTACCCAGCAGTGAAACAAACCTAAGTACCCCAGTGTGCTAAGTGTGTGAAACATACCCTAAGTACCCAGCAGTGTGAAACATACCCTAAGTACCCAGCAGTGTGAAACAAACCCTTAGTACCCAGCAGTGTGAAACAAACCCTAAGTACCCAGCAGTGTGAAACATACCCTAAGTACCCCGCAGTGTGAAACATACCCTAAGTACCCAGCAGTGTGAAACAAACCCTAAGTACCCAGCAGTGTGAAACAAACCCTAAGTACCCAGCAGTGTGAAACAAACCCTAAGTACCCAGCAGTGTGAAACAAACCCTAAGTACCCAGCAGTGTGAAACAAACCCTAAGTACCCAGCAGTGTGAAACATACCCTAAGTACCCAGCAGTGTGAAACATATACCATCATCCTTCAGTTTTACAACATTAATAACTCATTTATGTAGATTATATAAAGTTGAAGACATAAACATTGCTTTAATTGGAAAAAATATAAGTTATGATACTTGTACGTACGATACATGAAATAAGTTTAAGCCTCATAGATAGTCAACCAACAGAACTTTACCAGTGGTTACCTACAGTATGACTGTACTGTACACCACAAACACCTTTAAGGGTTCACTTGCACATATTTTGGACATTGGACACTAACATTAAGCTAGTGAGGCTTATTACTGTCTTCCATCAACCCACAATAGTGTAAACTTGTTTGGTATCACTACTAGCGTGTGCGTCTTAGAACTGGATTGCGGAGCACAAGTGCCGATTCGGCCGACACGATCGGTAGTTCATGATCACGATGATAGATGATCAAGTGACTCACACTATCAAAAGTGCGAGACTTTGTCCGAACCTGCAAAAAAATTGTATACAATAATTTACACAAAATAAGACATTTACACTAACTTTTTTCGTCAAAATACTGTATGAAAACAATGAAATACTGTGTGCTAAGGAGGTTGTATAACCTGATCCTATCAAAACAATATAAGCAGAACCATTAATGGATTCTGGTGAATTAAACATGAATGACTACGTACAGTATTCTGATTTTTTACATTATTATTATCTATAAAAGTTATATATAAATATAGGTCATCCTCAAATTCTTTTAATAAACATAATACAGTACTTCATCTTCACAGTACAGTACTTACCACTCCTTCTGGGTCAACCAAGAGCAGGTGTTTTTTCGTATTATTTTGCATCCCAGTCAAGACATATTGACCGGCAGTTCCTTGAGACTCACGCACAAGGAAGTCTCCATCCTAGAAAATAAAGATGATAGTCCTTCATTTTGTTGCGGAAATTGACAGATGGGAAAAGAATGAATAAGAATATATATGTGAACATTTTACCCAATATATGGTGCAGAAAATATATAACACGTCATGCTAATAGAACAAGTAAAGTACCTGAAGAAGCAGTAATTCTGCTTCTTTTCTGCTGATAGCACCATGGAACCAGGGCTCTCGCTGTAGCTGTAACCGCTGATTGAGGGGAAGAGGTTTATTGGTCCCTCCTACAGTTCCACCAGCAGCTACACCCGCACCACTCGTTACTCCAACTGACAGCCCACCTACGGCACCGGGAGTGTTACTACTACTAACTCCTCCACTAAGCTGAGACAACTGCATGCTGAAGGGTTCTGTTTATAAAAAGAAAAGATACTGTACTTTTTTTTATAGCACAGAGAAATAACCAGGAAATCAAAATTATTCGATCAGGTTTTTAGTTCCTCCTCACAATGAACTCAAATCTTAGGTTGTACTTTTGGGAATAGTACTTTTTAAGAATCATACACATGCACAATGAAAGACAAAAGTCGTGTCGTGAAATTTGGTGAAAACCTGTATCGAAGGGCTAAACTTTTGGTCCGCTCTGCCTTGTGGTAGGGGGGCTCTCATAATGTTTCACGAGTTACATTTAATCTTCGGACAAAACCGCGACACGACTTTAGTCTTTGATTGTACATTGTATAATTACAATTGTGGAGATACAGAACACAGGTATCCCTCACTTATATAAATTGAAATACAGTGTTAAGCGGGGATTACCAGTACATATCCCTGGCATATAGAGAAGATTGCCTGTAATCTGACAAATGTGGAGGCGAGACTAAGTAAAGGACACACAACATTTTGTTAATGTTTTGGGTCTGGATAAACAAATTAAGATTAAACTTGAAATAAGGATACAATATCTTGTAAGGATTAACTTACGCATGTCAAAAGGATCTCTCTGATCAAGGAGTTGTTTTTGTTTTATGACGGCATCGTTCACATACTCCGGCTCACATCGTAGTGGCGACGGCTGTGCTCCCTCAGAGGAAAAATCTATCAAGTTGTCAGACACTGTAAACACAAAAATGAGAATTAAGGTATTATTATGTACTGTATGCTTTAATTAAGGTATTATTATGTACTGTATGCTTTAATTAAGGTATTATTTTGTACTGTATGCTTTAATTAAGGTATTATTATGTACTGTATGCTTTAATTAAGGTATTATTATGTACTGTATGCTTTAATTAAGGTATTATTTTGTACTGTATGCTTTAATTAAGGTATTATTATGTACTGTATGCTTTAATTAAGGTATTATTATGTACTGTATGCTTTAATTAAGGTATTATTTTGTACTGTATGCTTTAATTAAGGTATTATTATGTACTGTATGCTTTAATTAAGGTATTATTATGTACTGTATGCTTTAATTAAGGTATTATTATGTACTGTATGCTTTAATTAAGGTATTATTTTGTACTGTATGCTTTAATTAAGGTATTATTATGTACTGTATGCTTTAATTAAGGTATTATTATGTACTGTATGCTTTAATTAAGGTATTATTATGTACTGTATGCTTTAATTAAGGTATTATTATGTACTGTATGCTTTAATTAAGGTATTATTATGTACTGTATGCTTTAATTCTTACATTTGGGGATAAAAATTACAGATTAAACCTTGAAATCTTATTTTATAACTACAGTAATTTGAAACAAGAAGATCCTTGCATAGTAGTCTATGGGTTTAAGCCCTGGCAGCTGGCACAAACATACAGTCATAGTAGTCTATGGGTTTAAGCCCTGGCAGCTGGCACAAACATACAGTCATAGTAGTCTATGGGTTTAAGCCCTGGCAGCTGGCACAAACATACAGTACTATAATTAGCACAAATCTCCCATTGCAACCATCTCCCCCTAAAAGAAATTTGAAGCAACAGTTTCCTCAAAAGGGAGAAGGGCTTAGTACTACAGCAGCTTGTATGTGCACATTTCCTTGTCATTTTCAGCTACCCAAGACTTTCAGTAAGGAGCCTCTTCTACACCCTCTGTGAAAGGGCTGAGAATTTAGATGATGTGCCATGTTCCAAGATATATTCCTATATATTTTCTACTGAATTAGAAAAACACTCATTACAGATCATCTGAATGCCATTAGCCATTCTGCACTTTTCCAACTGTTCTTGTCCAAGAAGAGACAGTGAAGATGAGACCGAGTCAATCATCATGCTCATAAAAAGCTCTCAGGGAATATTACATATCTGCTAACTCCAGTTTGATCTGGACTTGGCTCTACTAGGACTAAAAAGTGAATGTAATCATCCTTATAAAGCAGCAGATATTTTAACAAACTTCATAAGATCAGCCATGGATGAAGATTCATCCTAGGAACCCTTGGTTTTCATCCCACATATTTGCTGACTATTATAACTCAAGTTTAGCATAAAGTTGTAAAAGTTCATAATCTCCCCCTTTTTGTTCTTACTGGTATTGTACTGTACAGGGTGACCACCACTTTGACCAACATTCTTTGTTTATAAACAACCAAACTGTTTTCACACCAACAAAACCCAAGGCCTGGTTCATGGCATTCTGTGTGTTGGTTCTTAACCCTTAGGCCTCCCGTGACGTTTCAGAACGTCCGCCTATTTTCCCGCCATTTTTTATTTTTATAATTTTTTTTATATAATTTTTTATCTATTTATTATTATTATTATTTTTTTTTTTTTGAAAAGTTGATTTTTTTCTTGATTTATCCCCCCCACATGGGGGGTGGAGGGGGGGGGGTGTTACTGCCAGCAGCACCCTAACCTGGGGCTTAAGGGTTAATGATAACCCACCCAGCATATTCCATGTTTTTCATAACACTGTATTGTAGGTGATTTAGAATGAGAAGGGTTAAAGATCCTTCTCCTAATAACAAAATATCCAACAAAAGTAGTGACAGACTGATGTAACCATTACTATACTGAGCATATCAAGACACCATCTTAAGTTAAGCAAATCTTTTGATATAGCGACATCATGTGCCAATTCAAGGTTTAGTAACATAAAGCATGTAGAGTACCTTTGTTTGTCAGTGGCTGGTGAGAGTTGAGGAGCACAGTAGGGGCTCCTGTTGATGGTACGGGGGAGACAGAACTGGTTGACCCACTGCTTGATGGGGTAGCAGGAGCCGGGCCAGATGTAGCAGGAGGATGTGTTCTTTTACTTTCTGAAGCTGAGTACTGTGGGAGTGGGGGCACAGGAGGTGGGGGCAAGTCTGGTGGAACCTTCCCGGGGAGGTCATTGTAGTACTCGGGGTCATCACGTACCCAGCTTGTTCCCTCACCATTCATTCCTGGCCTAAAGAGAAGAAAAAAGTATTACAATAATATTTTTATATTAATAACTAAATAATGTATTTCTATTGACTGCAGGAAGAATAAAACAGCCAGTCTGTTTGGTTGTGTGTTCATATGTTCTACAGTAAGAAACATGAGAGCTAAGAGGGTACCAAACCCACATTAAGTTCAAATACGTCAGTGATCTGCAACATCTGTCCGTTTATATGTGTCTCATTGGTCCTCAAGGTTATTTGGGCTCTGGTCAGACAATACTGTACAGTACTCTGTACATAGTCTCAATTTAAACATTTCAGAAAACTTTTAAAATTATTCTTCAGTGTACAGGGTGACTTCATACTGTCAGTTCACTTAGCATTATTTCATTATAGCTCTGCTGATGAATTATATCCCATACCCATATAGTGTCGCACAATCTTTTTTATAACATTGTCGTCTACAATGGTATAACTATAGTCCTTTGTCATATGAGTGTAAGATGCTCAACTTTTCTGCCTCAATCTGATTAGTCTCCACTGTTGTGTATATTGTGCCCAGCAGCCAGTGTTAGTACAGTCAGTAAAATAAGAACAACAGCCCCAAGGTCGGTGGCATAGAGAGATAACAACCAAGTGACGCCAGTAACCACAGGTATACATTTACAGTTTTCCTCCATGTTTCATGTTGTTACCTACAGCAGGTGGTCGATACTTTTCCTCCTGACTGTACATTGCAATTTTCATGTCTCCAAATGGACTATGAACAACCCTAGGATGAATGCCAAACACCCAGGAAGTGAGAGTGCTCTGCCTACCATAACGAACGCAGGGAAACCCATCAGTTTGTGTACTAAGATACAAGTCTTATGCTGTTTTGATACTGGTGAGTGACATGGATAATGATGAAGCCAAGATTCACAGTGAACATTTGAAAGTAAAAAAAAATAATAATAATTGTTTCAACTTATTCACAACTTCAAACTGTTTATAAAAAAGTCTTTTATTAAAACTCTGATATGAATAGAATGACTTGTCTGACCAAATATTTCTCTGGACCTTAACCCCGTTATTTACATTAATTCTTAGAGAAAGATCGATTAATTTACCAATATTTAACTTTGTCACATGTTCAAGGAATGCAACAAAGACACTGTGTAATGTACAGTATAATAATATAAGATTATATCACTAACTGGGATGAGGCATCACGGTGGGTGAAGTGTGGTACTGTGCTGTACGTCTAATACTACAGACGAGGAGAGTGTACAGTAATTCTAACTTACTAAAAGTATATAAAGTACTGTTCAATATTGTACGTGTTAAGCTGTACACCACCAATCACCTTCACAACTTGTTAAGATCAGGTGAGCATAATCAGGAGAAGCATCACCTTGCCTGGTGTTTATGTTGTTCTTTGTTCAGATTCTCCCATTATATCTCCACATGTGTAGATACAGAGTATCTTATGGTTTTATATATAATATCTAACACTATATTCCCAAAGGCCATGAATTGTGTTCTGTAGAGTGAGTGTAATTTGATATATATTCTTGACCATTACAACATTAGTGTGCAATATTTTATAAAAGCAACAGATGCAATAATTGTAACATCAGTTTTGAGACTAATATTTGTCTGCTAACTGGCATGGGAATGTTATTTTTAGTAGGCAATAATAAAGTTATACACAAACAAATTAACATCATAATGACTGCAGCTCATCACTATAAAACTCACTTGTCAGACTTGACGCTGGTGTATTGGACGGACGGCGTTCGCTTGAGGTACTCCTTAAACCTGAGCTCAAAGGCCTGGCCAATGGTAGTTATCACATCTTGGGCCAGGCCTCCTCCACACTCCAGCACAAAGCACGCACGCCCATACCGGCTGTCTTTGGCTACGTACGCAATGAAGTCCAAGGTGTCCTGGAGAGATTGTACAGAGGTTAGTAACTTCAGCTATGTTACAGTACAGTATTTCTCCAAGTCTCTTATTAAAATTAGATCTAATCTTTTACCCCAACTAGATGAGAGTGGTATCACCTGGACCCTGATGTACAGTAAGTTGATACACAGACTCTCAACTGCAGTAATGAACCTGTTAAAAAATTCACAAATCCCATATAATGCATTACTTAATGACACGCACGCACACACACACACACGCACACGCACACACACACACACACACACACACACACACACACACACACACACACACACCAGGATCACCTATCAGCAGTAACACCTTTCCTGAATATCACTACAGGTTCACTGCCGCTTCCTGGATCCCCTCCCCTTCACTCCTTGTGCAATTTTCATCCCATCCTTCCATCTCCATCTTGGTCTTCCCCTGTCTGACCTACCATCTACCTCAATTAACTTATCTTTCTCATTCTGTTCTCTCTTCAACACTTTCTTCCTTATTTCTCATTCTCTGTATTCTATTTATCCATCACACAGTCCACTAGGATGTAATTTATTTTACTTACAATTTGCTTCTTTCTCTTCCATTCAGACCCCAAGATTTACAACCATGCAAGAAGATCTGCTCAGTAATTCCTCTATGCATCACCATCTTTAATTCCGTCACGGTTCCCTCACGCTTATCTGTTTCTCAATCTGCCCGTTTCTTTCTTTCCTTCCGCTGCCCAGAGGTCGAGTTCATCACATCCCCACCCCACTTCTCCCTCCCACACACTCTTCTCATCCACAATCATCACCCTTCTCTCTAACACACTCTCTTCTCTTCCAATCATCACCCTTCTCTCTAACACACTCTCTTCTCATCCACAATCATCACCCTTCTAACACACTCTCTTCTCATCCACAATCATCACCCTTCTAACACACACTCTTCTCTTCCACAATCATCACCCTTCTCCCTCCCTCAACCATTTTCTCAAAGATTCATTTATTATCAATTGCAGCTTGTCTTTTGAACAGTCCAGTAGAGCAGTCATTAGCAGAAAGCACCCAACTCACCTCCCTTTGCCCCTTCTCTGCAACCATAAATAGAATAATTCACCAAACTCTCTATCAGTTGATTCACTCTGCCTATAAGAAATCTGGACAGCTTTCAACTTCCTGATTATTTCTACAACTTTCAACCCTCTTTAAATTGTTTTTCTACCAAATATATGTGGGGGGTTTTTCCCTACAAGTAAATGCAACAAAATATTTCTGTCTAAAAAATTTAACTAACATTCTTGACTGCACAAACTTGATTCAATTTGTAGTTGCATTCTTTCCAGTCTTGCTATCTTCTCATTAATCATCTTTTCCACCTTCACTTCAACACTGCTCAATGAAATACTCTACTCAGAATATACTAAACAGCTCAGTTCCCACACGTTCAGTTGTTGTTCAAATTATTATCCCTATTTTGTTCTATTCCTTTCTCATTTTTCTACCAAATATCACCAATTTTTATTGCCCATTTTTCACTTTTTCTCTTGGTTTTTTCCTTTCTCTGTTTCACTCTTTTGATATACTGTAGTTTCTTATTCCTTTTAAAATCTTTCAGCAACTCTTCCTCTTTCTCCATCTTTCATCTGGTCTTCTTTTTTATGTCTTTTACCATTTTCTTTTTAATTCTCTTTATTCTTTTTCCTTTCCATACTTGAATCTATCTCCCATATGCCCTTCTTCTCTTTGCCTTAACCCCTTCACTACAGGGACGCCATTTTTAATATTTTATTTGGTTAACGCTAAACGCTCTTACTCAGCTCAGAGGGGGGGGTCGACACAGAGGTTAGTACACAGTGCCAACCTCTCATCTCATCATTTCCTCTTCTTGTTTTTCCTCCCTGTTTTCTTGTGCCCACACACCTCGGCTACACTTTCTTAGACGGTACTCATGAACTGTCTCCATTCTTACTCCCCACAGTTATCAAATGTTTCCTTAAAAGTCGTTCATTTATAGCTTCTTTCTCCTCATCTCATCAACTTTTATTAAATTCTTCTCACTTCTTTTAATTTCTTTAACCCCCAACAGTCCACTCCTTGTAACACCTCCATATAGTGCATCTCATTCTTGTCTACAAATATCTTATCCATTATCTAAAACAAATATTTGTATCACTGTATTATCAAATTTACTTCTGGGTTTTATTTTCTACAGAAGTCATGACACTCATCTAGCAGAGTTAAATTAACTAAGATTTATAGTCTCTCTGTAGTTAGAATAATCAGAGTAACTTTTAAGATATCTTTATCAAAAAAGTGAACAATTATTGCTACATCTCTCAAACTTATCAGATGTACAGTCAAGGAAAAAAGTTCCGTCCATCCCACCTACGATAACGTGTATCCGAGACATGACACAGAGCACCATCAATGTGGCCAACAATGTGTCATATCTTGGACTCACAGGTTTATGAGTCTCGGGGTTCATGGACGGGACAGAGGACTGACAGGACCTCTTCCCCTGACTGTAATTGGGGTCTCTAAAACTTACGTCAGCTGAACAATCACAACAATGTGGAGGAACTTAGAGTTACAATCAATCATAAAAGGGCAGATGACTTTTACCACCAAAGACTGGGTTTACCGTTGTTCAGAGTGAAACCTATGAAAGATGAGTTAAGTTCAGCAATGATAACTAAAATAATATTCAGTCACACCACCTACTTCCACTTTTATTTTTATAGTAAAAAAAATAAAATAAAAGGAATTGTACAAAAATCTGTAACTCAAATTCATCATACAGCACGTACTGTACTTTGAGGATTAATGACTGGCAGAAAGTTGGTGAGTGTGTTAATATGATCAATAATTACCTTACTGCACTTCATCTCAACCTTCAAACATTCCTAGGTGACAGTACAGTAAGTTCTTACCGGGTCTCCACCAGAAGCGAAGGATATATTTGGCATGTCATGACAAGCAACCACTTGACCCGACTCCAGTATGGTAAGCGTCAGCGCTGTACTGGTTATCGTCAGGTTCACGTTGCTACCGGCGTGTTCCATCAGGGGTCGTTCACCTAAGATTCTACTAATTGTCTTCACTACCTTTCTTTTACGGTCAGCAGTTTTGAGTCCTGCTGCTTCACACACTTTGCTGATGCATTCTCTGTAAAACATAACACATATTTAACACAAAAATAAACCTACCATAAACAGACATCATGAAATATAATAAAAATGAAGATACAGTATTAATATGTTAATGGTAGTCAAATAACTAATGAAACTCCCTTTTAAAACACACTGGGTCACTAATACTTCAACAGCTGCCAGATTGATGTTCAGTATTTATTATAAGCAATGATCAACTATGAATGAATGATGTAAGTAAAAAATTATATAATTGATTATTGCATTATAGGAAGTATTGTATACACTACACAACACAGCTTCATATTTCATGTTGCACATCACATCAGAGCTCCGAGTATCCTTTGTCAAATATACTGTACTGTAGTGTACTGTACCAGTGAGAGTAAAGCCTACCCAGCTCAGGCTACAAAATGCTGAGTACTGTACTGTACTGTACTGTACTACTGGGTAGTTATATTATAAAGCAGTAATACATCTATAAAAATATATTTTCAAAACTACAACTTAAATCATCCCTTATTTATTTTATGAATACTGTACTATACAAAAGGGTTCCATTCCTGATGACGTTCTTAAGTCGAATTTGTGTGCAAGTCGGAACACATGTTACATACACACTGTACTGACAGAACAATGTTTAAAACCCCACTACACCAAAGCCGAAGTCCTAAATTACACCTAAAATCACTTAATTTGAGAGAAAAGAAGAAATAGAATGACAAAATACACAACATTAAAGTAAAAAATATGTCATTGGGTAAATAAAATACAGTACTGTAAATTGAAAGTTTAACCTCGTGCATATTGGCGGGCGTTCGTAAGATGGGGACCCCTACACAGTACAGTGAAATTCATGTGGTTAGGTTAGGTTAGATAACAATACTACAGTACTTACTTTGCTATCAATGATCTGGTGTCAAAGTTTAAGCTCTTCATAGACGTGTTTACTTCTAGGCAACCAATGTACTGTAAACAAAAAAGGAATAAATAAATATAGTTATTATATACTATGACACGACAACTGACAACACTGAATGTACACATCTTGTTCAGGACCCCATTCTGAACAGATCCCAAAGCTAATGGACTCCACTTCTACAGAGTACAAAATACATTCAAGTAGTGATGGGTGTAACAGTAGTGGTGGGTGTAACAGTAGTGGTGGGTGTAACAGTAGTGGTGGGTGTAACAGTAGTGGTAGGTGTAACAGTAGTGGGTGTAACAGTAGTGATGGGTGTAACAGTAGTGGTGGGTGTAACAGTAGTGGTGTAACCAGTAGTGGTAAATTATTAACAGTAATGGTGGGTGTAACATAGTAATTGGTTGTAACAGTAGTGGTGGGTGTAACAGTAGTGGTGGGTGTAACAGTATAGGAGTAGTGGTAGGTGTAACAGTAGTGGTGGAGTGTAACAGTAGTGGTGGAGTGTAACAGTAGTGGTGGGTGTAACAGTAGTGGTGGGTGTAACAGTAGTGGTGGGTGTAACAGTAGTGGTGGGTGTAACAGTAGTGGTGGGTGTAACAGTAGTGGTGGGTGTAACAGTAGTGGTGGGTGTAACAGTAGTGGTAGGCGTAACAGTAGTGGTGGGTGTAACAGTAGTGGTGGGTGTGTGAGTGGTGGGCGTAACAGTAGTGGTAGGCGTAACAGTAGTGGTAGGCATAACAGTAGTGTAGGCGAGCTCTCTTCGACATCAGGTTTTTGATCCCCGCATGTCACCGTAACCTGGCTCTCGTGCTGCACACAGGAGGAAACGAGGCAGAGAGGGCATATGGGAGAATTCAGAACGTTGATCAAGGCAGCTCCTCCTCTAGTGTTCACAACCTCTGGTGGGATGGGCCCAAGTGCAAGATGCTTCTCGCCAGACTCCGGAGGTGATCTCCGAACAGAAGCAGCCAAGTTATGTTACAGCCTGGATGAGATGTCGACTGTCCTTCTCTCTCATGGTCATTTGCTCTGCCTCAGAGACAGGCTTCTGCCCCTACTCCGACAACTGCTGCAGATATTGACTATGAGGCTACAGTCACTGAATGCCGCATAGATCTGCAGCTCAACTAATTTAACACAGATAGAATAGCTTCTTATGTATTAGTATTTAATATTAAGGTAAATAAATGGTGGCGAAGGTGTGGCTATGGGGGGCTGGAGGCCACGTTAAAAAAAAAAAAAAAAAAAGTGGTGGTGGTGGTGGTGGTGGTGGTGGTGGTGGTGGTGGTGGTGGTGGTGGTGGTGGTGGTGGTGGTGGTGGTAGTGAAGTGGCAGTGGTGGTGGTGGTGTGGTGGTGGTAGGTGGTAGTAGCGGTGGTGGTGGTGGTGGTGAAGTAGCGGTGGTGGTGGTGGTGGTGGTGGTGGTGGTGTGGTGGTGGTGGGGTGGTGGTGGTGTGGTGGTGGTGGTGGTGGTGGTGGTGGTGGTGGTTGGTGGTGGTGGGTTGGTTGGTGGTGGTGGTGGTGGTGGTGGTGGTGGTGGTGGTGGTGGGGGGGGTTGGGTGGTGGTGGTGGTTGGGGTGGTGGGGTGGTGGGTGGTGGTGGTGGAGTGGTGGTGGTGGTGGTGGGGAGGGGCGGGCTGGGTGAGGAGACTGCTGGTGGTGCCGGATACAACCTGTCATTGAGGGGCCAACAGTCACTCTCTGTGCCACACATCCCCCACCATCACTACCCCACCACCACCCCACCACCACCACCACCACTACCACCATCACCATTACCACCATCACTACCACCATAACCACTACCACAACTACCACCGCAACGAAAAAATTAACTCACAACCACAGAGAGAGCTCAAGTCTACACGAGGATGAGTATCAGAGCATGGCGCGTGTTGTGTGTTCTGCAAGTCAATGTTACATCTCTTGGTAGTAAAATCACAAGTGTCAATTCTAAGCTCACACACAGAAATTAAACACGGTATATACAATACCTTTGACCTCTTATAAAATGACCAAAAAAAAAAAACCGCCCAAATTATCAGTACTTTTAATAACACTGTCTGGGATGTACACGCCTGCTGAGCTTAAAGTTAACTGACCCACAACTGAAGAGGACGGTTAACACTGAACTGTTTATGAGAAGAAAGAAAGAACACGTCCTCCAACTTCCAGGGAGACACTCATGGCTACTGAGGGCCTCACGGTGATACACTAAACAACGCGGCGAAGATACTATGAATTATACTAACGCTGTTGGCTGCCGAATCAAAGGTGTTGACAATTATACACACATTGCCACAAGGAAGACGGCCATACAAACATTCTGACCACCAAGCTGAGGCTCAACATCACCAAGCTGACTGAGGCCCAACATCACCAAGCTGACTGAGGCCCAACATCACCAAGCTGACTGTGGCCCCAACATCACCAAGCTGACTGAGGCTCAACATCACCAGGCTGACTGAGGGTCAACATCACCAAGCTGACTGAGGCCCAACATCACCAAGCTGACTGAGGCTCAACATCACCAAGCTGACTGAGGCTCAACATCCTGCCAAGCTGACTGAGGCTCAACATCACCAAGCTGACTGAGGCCCAACATCACCAAGCTGACTGAGGGTCCAACATCCCAAGCTGACTGAGGTCAACATCACCAAGCTGACGAGGCCCAACATCACCAAGCTGACTGAGGCTCAACATCACCAAGCTGACTGAGGCTCAACATCACCAAGCTGACTGAGGCTCCAACATCACCAAGAAGCGACTGAGGCTCAACATCACCAAGCTGACTGAGGGTCAACATCACCAAGCTGACTGGGGCTCACCATCACCAAGCTGACTGAGGCTCAACATCACCAAACTGACTGAGGCTCAACATCACCAAAGCTGACTGAGGGTCAACATCACCAAGCTGACTGAGGCTCAACATCACCAAGCTGACTGAGCTCAACATCACCAAGCTGACTGGCCCCAACATCACCAAACTGACTGAGGCCCAACATCCCGCAAAGCTGAAGCTGAGCCAGCATCACCAAGCGACTGAGGCCCAACATCACCAAGCTGACTGAGGCTCAACATCCCAAGCTGACTGTGGCCCCAACATCACCAAACTGACTAAACATCACTACAAGCTGACTGAAGACTCAACATCACCAAGCTGACTGGGCCCAACATCACCAAGCGACTGAGGCCCAACATCACCAAGCTGACTGAGGCTCAACATCCCCCAAGCTGACTGAGGCTCAACATCACCAAGCTGACTGAGGCTCAGCATCCAGCTGACTGTGGCCCAACATCACCAAGCTGACTGAGGCCCAACATCACCAAGCTGACTGAGGCTCAACATCACAAGCTGACTGGGCTCAACATCACCAGCTGACTGGCTGGCATCACCAAAGCTATCTAGAGGCTCAACATCACCAAGCTGACTGAGGCTCAACATCACCAAGCTGACTGAGGTCCCAACATCACCAAGCTGACTGAGGCTCAACATCAC